AACTTGTGCAGGATTGGAGATCTCGGGATAGCAAAAGTTGCATACAATAAGTTAAAACAATTGATCATTGTTTGCTTCCAGACTATCTATTTCTTATGACTATGTAAATATGCAATAAATCAGTGCCGTAACTTGTGTGTTGGAGACTCCTCCCCTCCACCCTTCCTCCCTAAAAAAACAAACAAAAAAAAGCCCTGTTATTATGGCTCCAATTTCTCAAAATATTTTCCATTTATATAACTTAAAAAAAAAAAGCTCCCGAAAATGCCAAAAGGGCTACTAAATTTGCAAATAAGTGTTAACTTTTAGTTATTAATTTTTTTGTGATTAACTTTTCTGTGGTTAACTTTTCTGTGATTAACTTTTTCTGTGATTAATCTTTTCTGTAGTTAACTTATGAAATAATTTATTGATACCAAAAATATAATATTTTTTGTTATAGCGTATTATTTTTCTAATTATAGAAGTAAAGGCTTTAGATGCACGAATTCTGAAAAAGGTTGTCATTACATTTCATAGATATTTACAAATAGTATAAATACTAATCTAAAGTAATCACCTAACTAAATAAAAAAAAAATCAATTTACAATAATAAAATTGTAACAAAATTTATGAGAAAAATAATAAAAGTAATAAAATAATAAAAACAATAAAAGCAGGTCCAACCAATCATACTATTTTTTGATCACTGATCGAAAAATAGTATGATTGGTCAAACCAATCATAGTATGCAGGTCAAACCAATCATACTATTTTTTGATCACTGATCAGGTCTGGCAAAGACTGGTTTTATGCATTTATGAACTGATGGTATAAAAAAATTTCCTTAAGAAAAACTCACAATTTAGCATCTGCCAGAGCCACTTCTTTTATGCAGGAAACAATTGATAATTATCTTGAAATTGTCACTTAACAATATCAATTGTCTGTTGCTCAAACAGTTATATAAGAACGGAAAGTGTTTTACACGTTTGCACGCTATTGCTGGTATAAAATATACTGAATTGTTTCCAGTTAACAAAAAAAAAAATCAATCAACAGGCATTAGCTATTTCCGAAACGTTTAACCAACCAATGTCTTGAACGCCATTTCTAACTAAAAAGCTTTTAGAATTTTTTTCTAAAGTAAGAGGTTAAGCAACTTAAGTTAACTGAAAAGCAAGCTAAAAAACGTAAAAGCATCTAGAAACATATAATGCTATTGCAAAACCCTGGAGAAAAAGAAGTAACTTAAAATATAGAACTAATTACATCAGCTTCAGCCAAAAGAAGAAAAGTTTTTAAATGCAGAAGGTGTAAAAAAGAATTACATTCAGATATGATGTCTTGCGAGAATCCAAATTGCAATACTTAGCTTTGCAACAAAACATGTTTGTCAAAAAAATTTGTTATAGGTTCAGATTTTTTTGTTGTTAAAAATATAAAGCTCAAATCTTTTATTATTTCTGTATGCTGTATAACAAATATATAAAAAATATTCATTTAGATATATAAAATGTTACATTTATTAAATGCATTTTATATTGATCGGTTTTAACAAAATTTCTGCCAAAAGCGATCTTTTTTCTTTCTTTTGGTTTTCATATTTTCAAATACAATTAAAAAAAAAGTTAATAAATAATGTGCTTTTTGGTATTTTCTATCTTATTAAAAAAAAAAAAAAATTAAATTATATACCTTATTATTTAAATTTTTTTTAAATAATAAATTTTATTTGATTTTTATTGTTCGGTGATCGATTTGAGCAGCTTTTACTCTATTATAAAACTGAAAATAACAGTCACGGTAATTTTTAATAATTAATTTAAATTTTTTATTTTTTTAATTTAATTATAGTTTAATTATAATGCTAATAATATCTATGAGTAATTTTTCAAAACATTTTCTGTATACGACGAAGAAAGCTCAAGAATTTAACAAATTTATTATCAATTTAGGTCCAACACTGCTCAAAAAAATCCCTTAGACCAAATCTTCATTTACTGATTTTTTATTACCCATGGATATTTGCAATGGTATAATTGAGTTATCTTCTGAATTATTGCTTGAAGATTTTGAAAGAGCCTTTAAATCATTAAAAAAAATTAAGCAATTGGAGCTCAAATAACAAAAGAAAACATATCAATAGATTGCTTTGAACAGCTAAAAGTTGTTCTTTTTAAAGTTGTTAAAGTTTCTATCCATCAAGATGTATTCCCCAAACACTCAAAAATTGCCAAAATTACTCCTATTTTAGTTCTTTTCCTAATTTATACTAATGATTTAAATAAATCCTCTAAACTAGCAAGCATTATGTTTGCAGATGATACTAACTTATTCCTATCTAACAGTGATATCTTTGAGCTTTTTAAAACAAAGAGCTTAGACATGTATCGAGTTGGTTTAAGTGTAATACGTTAACTTTAAATACTAATAAAACAAAGTGGACCTGTTGTGTTTGCTTTCAAAAAAACGGTTTTTGCAATTAAACTTAACTAAACTTTTTATTCATTAAATTAAAATAAAAAGGGATTCCGTAACAAAATTTTCAGGTGTTTATCATGATGAAAGCATGACTTGGAATAATCATATCGACTACATGAGCATTTTTTTTTTATTCTCAAGTTTTATTTTTACTTGTTTTATTAATTTTTATACTTTTTACTTATCATTTTATTATATTTTGGTATGTATAGATAAAATATTGGTGAGTAGAAGCACATGATTTCTCTTTTGATTATATAATATATATTTTGAAAATTGGCAGAAGTTTAATATTATTGTTGTTACCTTAGTTAAATGTTTGTTTAAACTTATTTAAGGTTCTGACGACAAGATTCTTTGATCTTCTTTCAAATATTTTGTTTTACATTTGTTATACCGTTTATCAAAAATCTGTGAAAGTTTAATACTTTTATTTTTGGCAATGTATAATTGTAATACGACCAGCAAATGTAAAAAAAAAAATAATAAAAAGAACAATAATAAAAATAATAATATTGACAACGACAGTAATAGTAAAATTATTAATGACTATAGTAATAAATATATTGGTAACAGTTTGATATTTATTATTATTGATAATACAACAATTACAAAAACAGTTATGATTAAAATACCAAACATTATATCAATACAATAGTTAAAATAAAAGTATAAATGTATGTAATGTATGTAAAACTATACATTTTACTTACTCTATTTATATCAGTATTTTGATCGGTAGCTTTGTAAACCAACCTAAACCTTGGAACGTTTATTTATTTTTTTCACTTTCATTTGCTTTTTTGGAAGCCAATGGCCAATTTTAGACACAGAGAGCATTTTACGATTACAAACAAAATTTACAGTAAATAACCATAATCAGCTAAATCATCAAAATAATTATACTATACTTTTATATTACAAAAGTTTATTTTTTCAATTTTATATATATATTTTTTAATTTCTTGATTTTATTTTTGATTTAAATATTCTATATTTTCTGTTTTTGATTTTTATCATTTATTTTTGTACCTTGCATGGAAAGGAAGAGGCTTTTAAAAAATTATTAGTAGCGTTTGGCTAAGAAAGACATAAAAACATGTTCCACTCACAGCACACGCTTATAAACACAGTGAAACTTACAGGACACGCTAATAACAAACTAACGCTCACAGCACACGCTTACAAGCACACTAGCATACACAACGCAACAAATTTTTAACGGGAGAAAACATTTAACCAAAATATTTGTAATATAATTAAATTATATATAATAACTTAGGATCGACAGTGATTAACTGTTATGCAAAGATAATCAAATTGTTGTTGTAAAATGTTCGTAAAGAGTGCAAACTTTTAACTGAAAATATTTTATTTTGAGCCAGTATAAAAATTTTGTCAAATATTTAATCTTAGAGTACCATTCTTTACTTGACAAAATACATTATTAATACAGAAAAAATTTAGAGAATATACCCACACTGTTTCTGGTAATTATATGTTAAAATAAAAATTGCCTTTATGTTTCTGATTATTAACCTGATCACTGCTTTTAGGCCAACTTTAGCGTTGTTAATCAAATAATGGCATAGTTTGTTCCGTATTTTACTTATGATGGTTTAAATGCGTAAAAACAGCAGCTACGAGGTCGGGGTCTTCTCCAATAAATTCGCAGTTGCAAACAAAAAAATCAAATTTATTGAAAAAATAATAAAAATAAAACAAATAAAAAAAGAGAGGGAAAACTGTTTTTTTGGGATATTAAAAGGAATACAATTGATTTAATTGTATTCCTTTTAGTCAAATGCACTATAATATATTACAAGATTTTTTGTTTTGTAATTTTTTTTTCAAAGAATGTGTATATTCACATGCAAACAGTTGCCAATAGATATACCAACAGTATAGTATTTAGAAAAGTCCTATAAATAAAAAACGATAATTTTCATAGGATTTTTATTTTAAAAAGTCTAAATAATGTTTATCGAGTTTAGTTTTGAAAAAATGTGATTGTGACTCCGTCTTTTTGAAAACTTTTGTAATCTATCCTGATTTAGACTTAGTTTAAATCATTATTTATTTTAAGTATAATTTGGTGCACAGTCTATCTTTATTATGTATTCGTTTAATGAACGCAGATTATATGTTTAACAATGACTCATATTAGTCAATATTGTAGACATTTAACCGACCTTTACTGAGTATATATTAAAAAAGTGTAAAATTCGCTCTTTAGTTTATTTTAACTTATTCTAACCCACTGTGCATTGGAATAATTTTAACGTTTTTTAAATATAAATTGACGTTCTTCGTTTTTTAAATATAAATTGACGTTCTTCGTGCTATACTTAATAATCCGGAACAAAATTAGTAGATTAAAAAAAGTAAGCTGAAAAATAAAGCCGATTGAACTCATTAATAATAATTTATGCAAAAAGAGTTCACGCTCTTTAATTTAAGTAATTGAAAATAATTATTTTTTCGAAGATTGCGTCATTATCTGATTAACTGTCATTTAGGACGTTACTATATTTAAAATAAATATTTCATATTTGTATAAAAAAAAATACTTTTTGAAAATACAACAAGAGAGTTAAAAACAAAAATTGAACAAATATATTTGTTACTTTATTGTGTCCACTTGTTGAGAATAATTTTACATTCACTGTTTTGTTGCTATGCAATAAGAAGCATTACCTTTATTGTTTGTATCAACCAAAATATTGCCTCTGTTGTTTGCATCTAAGAAAACATTATTTTTTTTTTGTATCTACTTAGACATTATGACATTAGAAACAAAAATCACAACAAGTTGCAAAAAAGAAATTATTCGGGATGATATAAACGTGGATTTTTCTGAAACTGCAAATTCAAGTATTGTTTGCAATAAATTTGCCAGTGAAGTTATTGTTTTTCATGTCACTGATGAAAGTGAACATAAAAAAATACTATTAATGAGAAAAAAAACACCAATTAACGAAGAACTAGCCACTGAAGTTGTTTTAGTTGATAACTCAGAATATTCACGAATTGAACAGCGTATTATAAACAGCAAATTATTAGCAGAACTGCATATTAACAACGCACGAATTGAACAGCTACCGACATATTTAAGCTTATCTAAAGAGTTTCTGCACGATGAACCTCCGAAATATGAGATAGTTACAGGAAAACCGCTGAAAACTCAGCTAGTAAGTTCATATTTTACCACTAATAAGCAAAGGCGATTCTACGAATAAAATGATGAAGAAGGGAGGGGGGTGAATCCTCAAAAAACGATTCCCCCCCCCCTGTAAAATCGCCTCTGTTAATAATAACGGTATTTTTTACAAGAATAGTAAACTTTTATTAAAGGTAAACTCATATAAAAAAGTAAAAATTCATACTATATAAGTATAGGAAATATACTTATAGTAAACCTGCTGCAACAGAAAAGTTTCTTCATAAATTTTTAAAATTTTTAATATTTTTTATTTATTTAGCCGTAAATATAATATTTACAAGTTTCGTGTATTAAGTTATAAAGATGGCATTGACAAAAGAAGACTTATCAAGTCCTTTATTTTCATACACACACACACACACACACACACACACACACACCAACACACGCACACACATACTCGCATATATATATATATATATATATATATATATATATATATATATATATATATATATATTATTATATATATATATATATATATATATATATATACATATATATATATATATATATATATATATATATATATATATATATATATATATATATATATATATATATATATATATATATATATATATATATATATATATATATATATATATATATAATAAAAAGTTTTCAAATCAAAAATTCAAGTTTTAAGATAATACTTTACGTCTCCATGTATCGCGTAAACAACATTTTTAGATAACGTACACTAACGTAAGAGTTCATCAAAAAATAATAATAACAGTTCTAAAAGTAAAAAGTTCATAATTTTTTTAATGAAAAAAAAAGTTTAAAATTGTAAAAAATTAATTAGATATAAAAGTTAAGACGTTTGCAACATATAAGCACAGTTTATGTAATGTATCTAAGCCGCAATAAAATGTTTTAATACTTTTTGAATTTATGCAGAATATTTCCCTCAATTTTAAATATACACTGTGGGGTACTCTGCATCTGAATCAATCAATCAACTCAGATTTGTTTATCACACCTTAGATTTTTATTTTATTAAAAATGTGAAATACTGTTTTTCTTTGTTTTAAATGCTTTTGACCCATAAAAATAACTAGGTTTTTTAAATAAAACTTAGCTTCATTAATCCAATATATCCTTTTGCTTTTTTAATTGCAACATCGACAAAAAACTGTTTGCGTAAAACAAAATTTTAAATAAATTTTTTTTGTTTAAAAAAAAGCAAGCTAAATTTTTAAAGATAAAAAGATTGTTTAGTTGATATTATTAAGTTACGCTTATAAAGTCTTTTAATTTCTCTTAATATTAAGTTATTATAGTAAATTATCAGTAACATTAAATAAGTCATAATAATTTAAAACTAAATAACTCATGTAAATTAATCATAAATGATATAATTTACATGAGTTATTTAGTTTTAAAAGATTTGGTTAAATGGTAAAAATTTTAAAAATGTTATAAAAGTAATTGTTAACCTCTTTAGTGATTACTTGTGTAACGTGGAAGCAAATACTTGTTCAATCAATATATTAAGAAATGGTTTTCATATTTCAAGGTTGTTTACAAACTGTATAATTACAAATATTATACCTTCACCGCCATTAGTGTTATATTATATTTTATTGTGTGTAGTAAAATGATTAAAATTGAAATGATGAACTTTTAAAATCTTAATTATTGCAGATGTTTTAATAATTTGTTGTCCGTATTTTTTATATCAATTTTTTAACATTTAATTTTTAAAATTATTTAAAAACTCTTTTAAATAAATTATATATTTTTGTACTTTTGAGTGAACTTTGATTAAAATAAAGTTTTTCGATAAAAAATACTTTTTTGTTGTTTTTATCAGGATGCTAATTATAAACTTTCGTTTTTGTTAGTTTTTATTATTTTAAATGAAAACCTATAATACATATGTTAATGTATAGTAAAACATTTAATCAAAAAAAAAATTAAATAATAATAATCAAAAAAAAAATACATAATCGCAAGCGTAATATTATATTTTTTATTTTTCCATATTTATTTGCGTAATATGTTTTCGTGATTGACTTTTGAGATGCGAGCTGAGTGAAGCAAATCAATCTAATGCTTCAAAATATATACAGAATAAGCAAAAAGTTTTAATAGTTAAAATTTGTTCAACATTTATAGTAATACTATTTACAGGGTAAAATTTCTATTTGACATCAAATATTTGAAATTCAATCTTTGGCAACAGCATAACAGCATAGATCCTCTATGTCGTCATCAAACATTTGTCGAACTAGCTGATAATTCAATTGAGAATGAATAATATCAGATTTATTGTTGAACTGTTCTTACTGTACTTCAAGGGATTTAAAAATGATTTTACTTTTACCTATTATATTTAGCTTCTTTGTTAATGGATCCTTTTTTTTTAATTAACTCCATACCGAAAGTTAGGGCGCCGCTAATAGTTTATATATAAAAGAAATGGAACTTTGGTAAGCGAACCCGATCAAGACTGAATTAGAGTTTGCACAACAGCTCCAAGTTTTGAGATTCTTTCCTCAATTTTTAAAAAAATAAATGATACAAAGTTAGAATGTAAACCCAGTGTAAATCCGAGGTGTTTTTTGATCTATTTGTTTTTTTAAGTTTGATCTGAAGTTTTTTTTTATTACAGGAACATTTTACTATATTGTTATATATGTATATACATGTTGGAAATATTTTACCATATTGTTATATATGTATATACATGTTGAAAATATTTTACCATATTGTTATATATGTATATACATGTTGGAAATATTTAACCATATTGTTATATATGTATATACATGTTGGAAATATTTTACCATTTTGTTATATATGTATATACATGTTGGAAATATTTTACCATATTGTTATATATGTATATACATGTTGGAAATATTTTACCATATTGTTATATATGTATATACATGTTGGAAATATTTTACCATTTTGTTACATATGTATATACATGTTGGAAATATTTAGCCATATTGTTATATATGTATATACATGTTGGAAATATTTTACCATTTTGTTATATATGTATATACATGTTAAAAATATTTTACCATTTTGTTATATATGTATATACCTGTTAAAAATATTTTACCATATTGTTATATATGTATATACATGTTGGAAATGTTTTACCATTTTGTTATATATGTATATACATGTTGGAAATATTTTACTATATTGTTATATATGTATATACATGTTGAAATTATTTTACCATATTGTTATATATGTATTTACATGTTGGAAATATTTTACCATATTGTTATATATGTATATACATGTTGGAAATATTTTACCATATTGTTAAATATGTATAAACATGTTGGAAATATTTTACCATATTGTTAAATATGTATATACATGTTAGAAATATTTTACCATTTTGTTATATATGTATATACATGTTGGAAATATTTTACCATTTTGTTATATATGTATATACATGTTGGAAATACTTTACCATTTTGTTATATATGTATATACATGTTGGAAATATTTTACCATTTTGTTATATATGTATATACATGTTGGAAATATTTTACCATTTTGTTATATATGTATATACATGTTGGAAATATTTTACCGTTTTGTTATATATGTATATACATGTTGGAAATATTTTACCTTTTTGTTATATATGTATATACATGTTGGAAATATTTTACCATTTTGTTATATATGTATATACATGTTGGAAATATTTTACCATTTTTTTATATATGTATATACATGTTATAAATATTTTACCATTTTGTTATATATGTATATACATGTTGGAAATATTTTACCATTTTGTTATATATGTATATACATGTTGGAAATGTTTTACCATTTTGTTATATATGTATATACATGTTATAATTATTTTACCATATTGTTATATATGTATATACATGTTGGAAATATTTTACCATTTTGTTATATATGTATATACATGTTAAAAATATTTTACCATTTTGTTATATATGTATATACATGTTGGAAATATTTTACCATATTGTTATATATGTATATACATGTTGGAAATATTTTACCATTTTGTTATATATGTATATACATGTTCGAAATATTTTACCATTTTGTTATATATGTATATACATGTTATAAATATTTTACCATTTTGTTATATATGTATATACATGTTGGAAATATTTTACCATTTTGTTATATATGCATAAACATGTTGGAAATATTTTACCATTTTGTTATATATGTATATACATGTTAGAAATATTTTACCATATTGTTATATATGTATATACATGTTGGAAATATTTTACCATTTTGTTATATATGTATATACATATTGGAAATACTTTACCATTTTGTTATATATGTATATACATGTTGGAAATATTTTACCATATTGTTATATATGTATATACATGTTGGAAATATTTTACCATTTTGTTATATATGTATATACATGTTGGAAATACTTTACCATTTTGTTATATATGTATATACATGTTGAAATTCTTTTACCATATTGTTATATATGTATTTACATGTTGGAAATATTTTACCATTTTGTTATATATGTATATACATGTTGGGAATATTTTACCATATTGTTATATATGTATATAGATGTTGGAAAAAGACCAAGTGCTTAATTCATCAGGATATGCAACTCAAATCATTATGGTTTAAAATACCCTGGTTTTAAAAATTCTTATTGCATAAATTAAGAATAAATATATATTTAATTTTTTTTTAATTGTTTCTTTAAAATCACCACACGCTTATCTACAAGTTATCTAATACTTACCTATAAAGTTGCCTTGTATCTACCTACATCTTGTATCTACCTATATTTTATATTTACATATATCTTGTATTTACCCATATCTTGTAACTACACATTTCTTGCATCTATATCTTTTATCTACCAATATCTTATATCTACCTATATATTCTATACCTAAATCTTTTATCTACCTATATCTTCTATCTACCTATATCTTGTATTTACTC